TATTTAGGTGAAATTAATAATACGCGAAGACATCGTGGCCCATTGTAAAGGGGAAAACAACGCAAAATAATAATATTCTGAGTTCGCAACCATTGCACATGTCAGAACAACTGAATAGGGATTTTCTTTTGGACACTTTTTACTGAAACATTGCAAAACTTGGTTGGTTGACATGAGATAAATTTGAGTCATTTTTCCAGAGTAACCTTTGGGAGTAATAAGATTGGAAAAACTGTTCCCTTCACATCTTTACAGCAGTGTTTTTATCGCCAGTACTGTTCTCTATACATTTCTTAAGGAGAAAGTGTTTAACTATCATGAGCTTCGTTTGTTGGTGATTATTTCATTTCCTCTTATGTGTGACTTTAATTTGTGATTAATGGCTGATAATGTAACGAGAAATTAAATGTCAATAATCTCTAGATTTTTAAGATTACCAAAAAAAATTACTTATGTCTGAGAACGAAGCCCCCTTCATATTGCCAAATATCAGTTTCATCTGGAGTCATGGTGAGTAAACATCAAGGCGCACCTTAATTTTTCCCTGCGAAATTTGAAGAATCTTATTGTAGAGGCAAATTTAAACATTTGCAGATTATCGCTTCAAGACCAGAAAAGAAGCCAACAAACAGGCAAATTAAATCTTATGCAGATAGTGGAGATAACAGCCAATCATGTAAACAAGATTTGAATTTATAACAAACAACTGAGATAAGAAAAGGGCTTTTTGTCTTGAATTCCCGAAAATCAAAACTTGCTTTAAAAAAGGAGCTTTCGTCTAAAATATTAGAAATTTACAAACCTTCTTTGATTAAAAACCGTATTACTGACATTTTTATCATTCAGATGTTTCGATTAAAAAGAAAAAAAGACAGAAGTTTGAACTTAATTTTTCACTTTTTATAACGAGCGGTTAACTCTTTAAGTCTAAGAAGTGATTAAAATGTAACCTCTCCCTACATTATTTATGCATTGTCCAGCAAACAGGAGGTGAGAATATTCAAATTTATCTCCTAAATGTTTTTATCTTGATCTGATATCAAATTCTTGTAACTAATTGGAAGGACATGTTTGGCAGCCCAAGGGGAGAATTGATGATCTGATCTTGGAATTTAAGGGTTGAGACGAAGGAAATTCTCGGAATCTGCTTAGGAAGTCAATTAAAATATTGCCTTAATTCACTCGTCATCTCTATATTACGCAAAATGTTCAAAACTAATGCCTCTATGAATAAGCTTTAGATATACTTACTGTCAAAATTAATATGCATTACTTAAAACACCGAGTTTCGCTTCAAACTTATAACTAACTAAAATTTAAGAGCACGAACCACGCTTTCGCTACATTGCTTACGCGGAATTTCAGCAAAGAAGATGGAAGATTAGAAATGGTACTCCGCGCGACAACAGTTTCAAAGAAGAATTTCAAGGAAGCCGAGATTGCAAAAAAAAATTACGCAATAGAATTCCTACTGCTAAGTTATTCTCAGCTTCTGGGCGGAAAAAGGAGCGACTGGAAAGAATTAAATGATTCGATAAAACGAAGCTTTGACCTGGAGCCCTCCTTTAATTTGAAAATGGCTCAGCTGCTTTTAGAATTAGTTTACACAGTTTTGCCTGCTTCTATATGCGTCGATAAACACTTACCAGCTTCCGTCCGTTGCCAGAAATGATACGTGATGTTAAGTTTGACAAAACGAGAAACGAAAGAGGGCTTCCAAGAGAGAAAACACTGTGTAAGGGCTAACATTGTGACAAGAATTGATCACTGAAGTAGAATTTTTCTAAGCTTGTGATAAAGTGCGCCTTTTAAAACTTATGCGTGCACGTGGGTTATTGAGCTCTTCCCTGAATGACTTGTCTAACTGCACGGGTTTTTAGCGCGCACGATTTTTCTAATTAGCACTATTCATTAGGGGCACATTTTGTTGTGGTAAACGCAAACGGAAACGGCAAATTAACATCTACGTTCCCTCATTTTTCTTCCAAGACAAAATACAGAAGGGCGTGGCAAGTGTTACTGCAGCATTCCCGCTTAGAGATTTTTCTTTCCTTTTACGTTCCTAAATATATTTTTGTGTTATTGCACGCACATTTTTCTTATTGTTTTCGTATTCTTTTCACTCACGGCGATTTGTATTTTGTTAGATTTTTTCGCATAATTCTGCTTTATTTAATTTCATTCGTAAAAGCTTCTCAGAAAAAGATTGAACATTGGAGTATCAGAGTGCATTAGGTTAACATCGATTCATTCGCTGCGATCATCTTTTAGTTTTTTCCGTTCTTCATGCTCGCAAGTCACACAACGTTTGTAAGTGTCTTTCCTTGTCCGATTGTATTTCCTCTGTTGCTTTGCGTTTTCCTATTGCTTCTACTTCGTAATAACTTGTAATTATTTTTTCTTTTAGCAACCACGATCAACTGTAATGTAAATGAATCTTAAAGCGTTCGCGTGTTGAAACCTGACTTTGTTGGCAGTCATATAAAGAGTTCAAAAGTTTTTTCACAAAACGCAGAAACTGAAAGGGAAGTAATAAAACTTCAGTTTTTGTCGCAGTCGTTCGTCGTGGGTTATTGAGCTCTTCCCTGAATGGCTCGTCTTACTGCACGGGTTTTTAGCGCGCACGATTTTTTAATTAGCGCCATTCATTAGAGGCACATTTTGGGTGCGTTCCTTTGGGAGAATCTGGATCAGGATTTCTGATCTGTGGTGTTCTTTTCGAGCAAATCCATCTTCAAATTAACATCTGGGTTCTCTTATTTTTCTTCCAAAACAAAATAGAGAAGGGTCTCGCAATGAGTACAAACGTTTTACACAAAATTCAGAAACTGAAAGGGAAGTAACAAAACTTTAATATTTGTCGTAGTCGTTCGCGTTAAATGATCCCTCAATCAAAATAGCAAAATATGATGTGAAATAAGTCATAGTTATTTTTCACGGGCTTTACTTTTTTTTCTGTTTAGTCACGGCTGAAATGATAATGAAATAATCGACAAAACTTGTAAAAAAAATTAAACCTTGTGCTGTCCGCAAGGCCTCGGTTGTTCAAAGGCTAGATAAATCGCTATCCGGTGGTTAAGTGTTTACCAGTATATGCAACCCAACTATTAGGTGGTGAGATGCTTTAACGAACTTTGTATTGATTTAGTTCCATATTCTTTCCTTATGAGCGACGTGGTACTTCACATTACGCGCACGAAAATCAATGCTTCTTTAGTGCGAGAGTATTTATATGAGAAACAGAAAGGTAGCTGAGCGCCTCAGATTTCTCAGGCTGTGTCTCCGATATAATGCGATCTACTTCTCATCGTTAATACGCGCTGCGTGACTATTGCACCTGGTGAACAAACTGAACGTGTGGAGCAGGCTGAGTTTCAAACAATACGTTGAAACTTAGCCTGCTCCACGTGTTCAGTTCGTTCATAGGGTGCAAGGTAAAAGGTGCTACTAAAGACAGCGAATAGTCTGGTTTGGTAAGAAATTAGAAATGCTATCACATCTTGAAGATTATAAGAAACTTATAGTCCATCCCTAATGTCCAAACTTGCGGCTTCAATGATATTACAATGGATGCTAGTGGCATGGGTAAATACTCACAATTACTCTAATGATTATCAGAGTGGCTGTATTATTCCTCTATTTGGTTCCAGTTATTTCTGATAGCAACGAATAATTGCTAGGCAACCAATTTCAATATTAGTGCTACAGCGTTAGAATCGCCTCCCGCGGGTTGATTTGAACAACTCGTGGCAAAGAGCTTTTCTGAAAGAAAGTTCAGTTCGTGCACCCCCCCTCCCTCAACAGTCTGATTTCTCCTGGTTGGCTGAGTATCTAAAATGACTGTTGTTCATAATATTTGATATATATATATTATCAGATATTTGGTGTCAATTTTAATAGTTTCTTTATTTTCTTTCGAATGTTGTAATTGCCCTGATTATCCGGATTCCATTGATTTCTTCCCTCTTACTATTTGATGTGAGTTCCATTAGCTCGTAAACTCTGCTCGCAATTTTTTAGTATTCATCAGAACTGAAGCAGGTGACGAGAATACACGAACTGATCTGGAGGTTGTTTTCACAAACTGTATTCTCACGCCTCATTAAAATACGCGACGACCAAAAGAGAGAATTGCGCATCAAATTCTGCGAGTTATGGTATTAACCTGAACAACATCAACTCTAATCTGGATTTTGCTTGATAAGTGCCAAGTAAAGTACTATAATACTGCTCTACTTTTAGAACTGTCAGTCCTGACTACAATATCATAAAGACGCCTTCGAGTGCTTATCGACCGTTTATTTTGAATCTTAAAATGCATCAGGGCTTGTTAAGAATGGATTTGCATTTTCATAATAGGTTACAAAAACAATATTTTCACTTCTAAGTTTTCTTTAGAATATATTTTAATTTTTATATTTTAAACGTAAACATTAACATAAAATTGTGTTTTTCTCTTAAAACATACTACTAAGTGAACATAAGTTTAAGTAAAACAATATCGCTTAAAAGCGACACCATAAAAGCAACATTTGGAGTGTACAAGAAGTATGTTTACAAGTCGTTTAAAGCTAAGTCGCCTTTCAAGAAAGAAGTTTGCCTTACATCAGTCAAAAATGATTGATTGAATTTTCATTGTTTAAAATAATGTTTGCCTCAGGAAGACAGACAAAGTCTACTGCTCTATTCTCAATATATTTGCATATTTCTAGTATTTCTCTTGGCTATAATAGTCACCAAAAAAAGATATTGGTGGACAGTAAAACATCGCTGTTACTTTCTTTTTTTCTCTTTGAGTGACCTTATTCTCTCAGATAACAAGGCTTTTTTTTCTTTCAGGACTAATTTAATGGAACCTTTTTTTGCCATGTGAACAAATTAAGCAATGTTATGACTGAATATATTTTGGGGTTCTCTGGCCAAAATTTACAGCAATAATTACCTCCAGTCAAATCTTTTCAAGTCAACAAAATTTAAAGCAACATGACCAATTTTTCGTTTCACACCTCGCTTTCCGATCTTTTCAGGACCCGTTGAAAATTCGCCGATTCGATTGCGTGTCTTTTTGTCGAAGATGAACCATCTTGGCTGTACCCAGATACTGCAGCTGATGACAGCGTATTATTATAACTCCTTGAATTACGCTTGTTTTCGGGGAAATCGTAATCCTCTTCGGCTAAGGCGTCAAACCGTTTGGTATTTCTTCGAAATGTATTATTTGAGTTTGTTTTCTTTAAAAGCGAAAACTGAGTCACCGTTGTATCACCGAGACTTTGTAAGGAATAATTAATACGTCCACCTGAAAGAAGTCCATCCTCCCTCAATTCTTGGAATCCATGCGGATTTCTTGCTTTGTAATCTCTCAACTCTCGTTTTAGTCTCTCTATTATTAAATCTTGGTTATCCGCAACACTTGCTCTTGATCCCGGCGTTTCTAAAGAAGCGGCAAAAATTGCGAAATTCCCCGTGTTTCTTTGTGACAAAGTGTGACCAAGCGCGTTGTCATCCAGTATATTGGTGTTTCTCTGCGTGAGAGATCTTCTCGACACTGGATGTGAATCTCCAGAACCGGCAAAATTGTCTGATTTCCTTCCGACTATTTGTTTCCATTGCATTGGTAAACCAACGTATCGCCCCGAATCCTCATCCAAAGCCACATGAACACGATGTTCAAAATCGGCAGGTTCGGAAACTTTTTCAGCCTTTTTCTGTGCGTTTGAGTTATTTTTCATTAATCCGAGCTCTGTTGCGAGACGTTTTAAAAATTTTCTAGGATCCATCATGCAGTAAAATCCTCAAAACAACTACAAAACATTGTAGATGGTCTAAATCGTTGTATATTGTTATGAACAGCAAGCGATCATACAAGACTCCAACCACAACTTGATGAGCCGCAATAACATGTCCCCTTTTGGCTTTTTTCCCTCAGATCTTTTCATTCTTGATATTCTTCCAATATTTCACCGGATTAAAATGAAAGTGAGGATATTGCTTCACATTCGATGTACATGTAAACTGATATGTCGAAATAAACTTCATAATTTAGACAAAGTCTTTTCCTGAACGACTTAAATCTTATTTGCATAATAAATACTATAAACAGTTGTAGCGAGAAAGTCCCTTATAAGGAGAAGAGGTAAACAAACGTTGTTTGAACGTCATGGTCACACTGGACTCTCTTTGTCATCATGTCCATCTCTAGTTCTTTAAGTCGCGACGAAAACCATTTCAACCCCCTATTAGAAAAAATTAAAAGAAACCATTCAACGACCAACTCTTTATTTCTGTATTACAAGAAATCAGTGAATATATGCAAATATTATTCTTGTTCCGATGCTAGATCACTACTTGTAAATTTTTGTTCTCGTGTATTTATTTATTTTCCCGTTGGATTTTTGTGAATAAAACCACGAATTTTGAAGGGTATTATTGCAATAGTAAATTTAAAATTATGAAATCGAACTGGAACAAATGGAAACCATAATGACGCTAATTGCGTCTTTTTTCTTCATTAAAAATTAAAATTGTTGAATATTTTGAGCACAAATACCAAAGCGAAGCGAGCTATAACAAGTAACTCAGTTGGATACTGGGGTACAGCCGACATTATTCTCGTCTTGCACATGGAGGTTGTAACCCTTTCAAGGAGTGCGCTTGTTCGTCTAATAAGGATGCAATACTTTTCCTTTAGTTTTTCAGGTGCACTCTCCTATTTCAAAGATCATTTTTATTTAATGCACCACATTCACTCACACGTTTCTCCTCACACTTTTCACTTTTCGGTTTTGAAGCGATTTGGGATAATTCCTGCAACACGATACACTTTTTTGGAGATCAATAGAAGCAATTGCGCAGGTTTGTGTCAAATTACAAGCTTGTACTCTTGTTGTAATACAATGACGAATTCCTCGGTTACAGAGTCAGGTCCAGCTCTTATCTCACTTAAGATTCGGGCTAAAGGTTACATCACTCACGTGTTCCAGTCCTGTAGAACAAGTAATATTCAATATTGGTATTGTATCTCGTGTTAATGTTTGCTTCAAGGATTCACAACTTGTGTTGTGGTGTATTTTAATCTCCTAAAGAATACAAATAATCAACGGAGGACTCAATGATATTTTTCTTAGCCTGGTCTGGTGCCGTGTTCGTGATCCGGCGTTGTGGAAAATTTCATTTATGTGCAGTTATTGGAACAAGTTAACAAAATAGGATTTGAATAGGGCTGAAAACTAAAATGAAACGAATAATTGATTTGGGACTATCCATTGGGATTGAGTACCGTACAGTTCTTAAAACGGTTTTTTATAAAAAAAAAAAATAAACAAAAATTGCGAAATTCAAGCGAGAAAATAATGTAAGTTTAAAAATTCTCCTCACGTTCACATCAAATGATGCGGAATGACGATGCAGTCTAACTGCGCATGCCCATTACAGTGTGTTTCAAATCAAATATTAATGACTGTTTTTCCTTTCATCGGTACAGTAATAATAAGTAGAACTGCAAAGTCAAGACAAACCATGGTTCTAATTAAATTGCAAACACGCACGCATTTGGTTTTGGTAAAAAGGCATGAATAATTTTCCTCAGAAAATAGTTTTATTAGAAAAATTGTATTATTTTGATCTAACGATACCATGTAATGTTTTTAATGTTGTTGACTTTGCTTTATTTTTAATGTTTGCTCCGGGTAGATTGTCTGTTAGCCGCCATCCTACCCCACACGACAGAAATAAATTATTTTAAACATATTTACTCGAGTACAGACAGATGACCTTGGCTTGATGTTGCCGTAAGTTAATGCATTTGATACGTCGAGGCTTCACCATCAGTAGACAACAACATGTCTGACATGAAAAGGGGACTAAAATTTTTTGATCTCCAAAATGGATTGTAATTTTAAAAAAAATTCTGACATCACTGGACTTTCCATTGATTGGTGGTTCGGTTATAACGTGGTCTGAAGGTGCACGTACAAAGGGATAAGAATCAATAACATATTTGATGATAATGCATATTTTGCCCATCTTTGTTCTAAAAGTAAATAAGCTTATTTCATGCCCAATGCCAATGTCGCGAGCTGGCCACGCTGTCTACGCGCGGGAAATATTCGTGAAATTTTCTGTGCGTGGGAGGTTTTGTAACGAAACGTAACGTAACATAACGTATCGTTACGGATTTTCAAGTCATGTCGAGATTGGCGTTTCTAGCCTGTCCTGTTTAGTAAATTGTCTCTCGAGTTACTGGTTCAAATAAAACAATATAAAGGGATGAAATAACGAAGTATGTCTTTGTGGTGGTATTTCATGTTTCCTACAGCTTTGTACCCAGAGCAAGTCCCCTTCATCTTGAACATAAACAAACCAAAAGTGGTGTGGACAAAGGGACAGGTTATGTTCTACTCTCAGTTTGGTAGCCATTGATATGCCATTGTGATATGCCATTGTGGGTTGTGGGCATCTTTGAAGATGATCCATTGAAGTGGAATACATTATTGAACTATAGAATACAAGAAAAAGAAATAGCATGTCAATGGATTTAATATCCTCTTGCCTCCCCGCAGGGGAAACATGGTAAATCTCTGCCACAAACTGGGTAAACCTCACGGATCAATGATATAGAATCTTATGATAGAAGGAAATATACATGATATAATTCGAATTTGTACAAGAAAATATAAACGAATATAATCTCTTGGTTTGTACAAGTATCAATTTCTACAAGTATAAACCTTCTAACCACCATTACTCAGGACGAACACATGAATAGAAAAAGACTACGAGCTCCTTGAGATTTCGATAGATCTTTAAGAACAAAGGAACTTCTGGTTTTATTAAGATGTTTATAGGTATTATGGCTAAAATATATATTAAGTTTATATTTTTCTTACCTGAATGGAATAAGACTTCGGGTTAAAACTGAATTCCTCTCTTGTTAAACCTACAAAGAAAGAGTGGAAACAAGTGAGATTAAAGTCATCTATTTTTTAAGTTGTTTGTGTAAGATACATAATGGATTGTTGTCTACACTAAAAAATAGTGTTGTTGAGCGTTGAATAAGTACAGTCGATAAGGAGATATATAAGATTCAACTTCGTACAAATTTACAAATGGCTGTCTCATAATAAAAAGTTTTTCAATACCGGTCTTTTGTTCCTATTTTTTTTTTCTTTCACTATAAGCCCTCTTGCTGGCAAACTGCTCTCTAACCATTATTATCGGCTTTGATGTGCATGTGATGGAAACAAACATAATTCATTTTATCAGCAAATGGTCTAAAAAGTCTAGCAGAAACGTTTCCTTAGTCATAAAAATAGTTTTTTAAAGGTAACCATATCATTTTTAACTTTTTTCTGGCTGTTATGTTTGAAAGATTACAAAATACAATCTTATGATAATTGTAAAACTTCCTGTGATTCGTTAAAACAATTTGAAATGTCTCTTGATATTCAAACTGGCTTGGGTGATAACTGACCGTTGAACAAGCGTTGATATTCAAATTTTTTCTGTTTCGTTCAGTTCTGTTTTAAGGTCTCGTTTCGAAACAATTAATGCGTTGCATTCAGTAGCTTGTGTTTTGGTTACTAGTAGAAAAACAAAAAATGTTTTTTACAGACACAGTGAATATAGAATGAAAGTAACAAGGCAGCATAAAGAGTCATGATTTGTAAACAGTTCAATAATCATTACATTTCATGACAATTTAATATACCATACTTGTTCCCCATTATATTACAATCAAAGCACCCTGTCACTTTTGCTCAAATGTTCTAAATATTTAACAGCTCGGCAAAGAGAGACAAACGTTGTACAAACATTAAGACTTAACAGCGTGCGCTTTGCATAATTTATAGAAATGAATTAGTTACACGAGAGTCGCAGAATATTTCAATTAAACCAAGCTGTCTGCAATGAACCTGGTGTAATGATATTTTTGGTTTTAGTTTGTTTGTTGTGTTTAATAGTAATCGGCTGGGTAATTATTTTTATGGCGCGAAATGCGTCATTGTGTATGAGCTGCAAAAGTTGAATTTGAAAACAAACAAGGAGAAAATGAAATAAATGCGCTATTGGTTTCTTTTTTAATTACACGTAGAGCGTATTACATCAGCCTGTATTCTTCATTAGTTTCAAAGGTCTCATGATTAATTAACAAAATCCTATTCTAATATTGATTACCGGATAAGCGAGATGTCAGAAATTTGCGATTAAATACTGAGGAATTAATTTCTTTCCACAATTAACTAGAATAATACAAATCTAATTGCCCCTCTCAAAAGTTGTAATACAGCATCATGGTAGTAAGAAAGTCTTTGAGGCGCAGCCTGCTTATCAGACATTTGTGAAAAGTAGAATACTTTCCCAATAGATCGTTTACACATAGACTTCTTCAGAAAATTAATGCCAACCGCTTTATAAAAAAATTGGTTAAGTGCCACCTGAGAGTTTAAATTAAGAAGAATTACGGTATCCATGATATTTAACACTTATTGTCCATTTTATAATAACAACCGACAAAACGCCATTTTCTTCCGATTGATTTCTTACAAAGCACATCCCGTAGGATAATAATACTTATCTAATGAATGGATACGAATATTCATTAAAATCGAGTACAGAGAGTCTTTTTTTATTTATTATTGTTACTTTTTTTTAATATCCTCTGCAGCGGGTAAATTGGCTAACGAACATGAAACCGATTTTGGAGCGTAATCCATGTTGAAGGCGACAAATTGAGGACATAGGTCAAGTGAGTTAGCAAAAATGTATACCATTTGTTTCC